TAAGTTAAAAATTTTAATTTTAGCAAATACATTTATTAAGGGCATTTGCCTTACAAGCGGCCAACATGGTCGACCCGAGTTCAATTCCTCTGCCCCTCTCAGAGAGCCCGGCAAGCTACCGAGAGTATCTCGCCCGCACGGCAGAGCCTGGCAAGCTACCCGTGACGTAATCGATATGCCAAACACAGTAACAACAAGTCTCATGAAGGAGACGTTACTGGGCCTGCTTGAGCAAATCGATGAACAACGGGAGGACCGTGACCGTGACTGTGACCGAATAAAATTAATAAAAATAATTTAAAGTATAATTAGATTAATTTAAATGATAGCTGAGATTTTTAAATTAAAAATTAAATTTAGAAAATGAATAAATTTATTCAGTAAACCTAACAAATTTTGCAAGTAAATTTATTTGAAATAATATCACTATCACTATCACCCCATTGTTCGTCAATGTGCTCTAGCGGACACCAGTAACGTCTCCATTTGTCCCTGTCACGTGTTAGTGTAGCCCGATGGCATATTGGGGGCTCTTTCAGGGTTAGGAGAATGAGACTATCATTGAAATAAAATAAACTTATTAAGATAAATAACAAACATTAACAAATAAATTTATATTAGCTAATAAGTGGCAAATAAAGTTATAAATTGGCATTTAATAATTTTATGCTTCATATGCACTTATAAAAAATTTACTGTTTTAGAGGCCAGACGGATAGGGTAGTAGATAAGGTGCTTGTCTTGCACACAGCTGACCCAAGTTCTATCCTTGGTATCTCGTTTGGTCCCCTGAACCCACTAGGAGTGATCCCTCATCACAGAGCCAGGAGTGAACCCTGAGCACTGCCAAGTGTGGCTCTACCCCCCAAAAAAGGCTGTTTTAAAAATAGTTTAGTGTTGGGACTGGAGCATAGCACAGAGAGTAGGGTGCATACCTTGCACACAGCCAACCCTGTTCAATTACCGGCATCCCATATGGTCCTTTGAGCCTGTCAGTTGTGATTGCTGAGTGCAGAGCTATGAGTAACCCCTGAGCTATGAGTAACGCATGTTATGAGTAACCCCAGAGCTATGAGTAACCCATGTGTGATCCAAAACCAAAAATGTTTTAATGTTTTGTAATGTAATAAATTAGGGGTAACACTGTAGCACTGTCCTCCAGTTGTTCATGGATTTGCTCAAGCGGGCACCAGTAACTTCTCTTTTTTTTTTCTTTTTGGGTCACACCCGGCGTTCCACAGGGGTTACTCCTGGCTCTGCACTCAGGAATCACTCCTGGCGGTGCTCAGGGGACTATGTGGGATGCTGGGAATTGAACCCGGGTCGGCCATGTGCAAGGCAAACGCCCTACCCACTGTGCTATCGCTCCAGCCCCTGGCACCAGTAACTTCTCACAAAAAAAATAGTGAGACTTGTTGTTACTGGTTTTGGCATATTAAATACATCATGGGTAGCTTGCCAGGCTTGGCCGTGCGGGCGGGATACTCTTGGTAGCTTGCCAGTCTCTCCAAGAGGGGTGGAGGAATCGAACCTGGGTCGGCCGCATGCAAGGTAAACACTCTACCCGCCATGCTATTGCTCCAGCCCAAATTAGAGGTAAATATATAAATATATTTTTTTCCTAATTTTAACTTCTGTTTGACTGTTGGGTCAAACAGAAGGAAAAGTTAATTGAATATCATTGAGAGAGAAATCTTAAGAGAGCAATGTATAGTACTTTGTTCATTAGAGCAATGTATAGTACTTTGTTAGTACAGATATATGTAGCACTGCACTGTAGCACTGTCCTCCCGTTGTTCATCGATTTGCTTGAGTGGGCACCAGTAATGTCTCAAAACAAATTGTGAGACTTGTTACTGTTTTTGGCATATCAAATACATCACAGGTAGCTTGCCAAGCTCTGCCATGCAGGCTAGATAGTCTTGGTAGCTTTTCGGGCTCTCCGAGAGGGGCGGAGGAATAGAACCCAGATCGGCCATGTGCAAGGCAAATGCCGTAACTGCAGTGCTATTGCTCCACCCTACAGATATATGTATGTCTATATATTTTATCCAATGAATTGAGGATGTACAGCACTGAATTTGCATTTAAACTGTAGTAAAGTTGGGGTTGGAGCTATAGTACAGCAGGTAGGGCATTTGCCTTGCATGTGGCAGACCCGGGTTCCATCCCATGCATACTATCAGGAGTAACCCCTGAGCACTGCCAGGTGTGACCCCAAAAGCAAAAAAGAAACACCTGTAGTAAAGTTTTCCTTTGTTTAGAGTGTGTGGCAGGCAAAGCTGCTGAGTATTAATAATTACTTGATCAAACCCTTTCCTTTTAGGTGAGACTTCATGCAAGACTTCTTTTCTTTCTCCAAACCTAGTCAGAGATATGACCTTGGAAATATTTTAGAAATAATCTTCTGACAGGAATTCTTTGAAAAATGAAGGCACTGAATTATACTTCTGACTAGATATGGAAAAAGAAAAGAAGACTTGCATGACATATCACCTGAAAGGGAAGGATTTAATCAGGTTATAATTAATATTAATATTCCGCAGCTTTACCACACATTCCAAGCTAGATTATTCTCATTTTATAGAATGGAATCTAAAATCTATACAAATTAAATGAATTTGCATATCATTTTTCTTAGTTAATCAAGTTAGAATTCATAACATGATTTATTTTCTAATGTGCTAGCTTCACTCTATAGTGTTTTATATTTTCAATCACAAACTATGCTTTTCTGATTCTATTTTCACTTTTAACCCAGAAATTTTATAATTTAATTGGAATTCTTTCTATTGAGTGATTATCTTCATGTCATTAAAGGTAAAGGCCCTCCCGTTGATCGTCGATTTGCTCGAGCAGGCCCAGTAACGTCTCCATTGGAGACTTTGTTGTTACTGTGTCTGGCATATCGAATACTCTCGGTAGCTTGCCGGGCTCTCCGAGAGGGGGGAGGAATTGAACTCGGGTCGGCCATGTTGGCCGCTTGTAAGGCGAACGCCCTACCCGCTGTGCTATTGCTCCAGCCCTTCATGTCATATTGCTGACAATATAAATGGAGAGTAAATAAATTTACTGCTCTCATGCAAATACAATTTAGGCCTTACAGTTTTTCACTTTTTCAAATTAGTTGTTGATTAACAAATATATTGCTAAGAAAATCAAACTTATGGATTAAGCAATTAGCTTTTTGGGGTGTAATAATCAATTTTCAAATTGTCAACATAATTAATGTTTTAATCATGATATTGCTTAACATCTGCCATTACTATACAGTTTAGCCGTATTGATTATACGCTGTGTTTTAAAGGGCAAAAGTATAACAAATCGATTCCTCATATCATTTGTAAGAGTTGTAAAACTTTATATTTCTGATACTAAACATGCTGATAAGGGTTTTACTTTACAGCTGCTTGTTTTCTTATCAATTTCATAATTTTGTTTGCATAGTCAGGTGCTGGAAGATTTTTTTCCCGTATATTTTACAGTCTGACAGCTTTCTAAATGAAAGTGAATCATTTTTGTGACCCTGAACTGTGATTTCACTAAAAACAAAGTATCTTAGTATATTCTTTAATTGATTGTATTACTTTGTAAATCTAACCAAGATCCAGAAAAAAGAAAAAAAAAACAACCACCGTGCTCTGAGAAGTGGGAAAATGCGTGGACCCAGCAGAACTCCTGCTCCAAACGTTGGGCCCTGAACAAAGGCGAGAGCTCCATTTTATAGATTATCTGATGGGAGAGAGAGCATTTGCAGGCAGCCGACAGGAGAGTACAGAAGCAGAAAATCCCAAGCATGCAATTTTGCAAAGCAGTGTTTGGACCACCTCAAGGCCATAAGCATATATGGAGCACATTCCCAGATTAACAAAGTTACAAAGTGATACTGTGACCATCTCACGGACATCCCAAATGCATTCCTTGTTTACGCCATGCCTCCGAGGTTCAGCTACTCCTTGACAGCGTTAGTTAACCTGTTTGAAGTTATCTTGATTGCAACGTGGGCAGGAGTCTATTTTCCTTATCGGTATAATCTTCAGACAAAAGCTTTGCTATAACTCTGACTGTTGTGCTCTTATATTTGAACTGGCTTTAACATTGGTTACAAAGAAGCACAATTTAATGAACAATTGTTTAAAATACTCTATTTCTTTAGTTAAGTACCTTTCAACTTTCGAATTTTATAGCAGTCATAAATCCATTCTGTGCTATTAATATTTTAATTTAATTACTCCTCACTGTCTCTAGTTCATAGAGCTTTCCCTACAAACAATACCAAATTTTATTTTATTTTTAATAGCAATTTAAAGTTGCTTTGTTCCAAATTTTTTCCTTTACCAAGGAAAAATGTCTTGAGAGTTTTTCTTTTGTTTATTTTGTGAGGTGAGGGTGGTACACCTGACTGTGTTCAGGACTTACTCCTGGCTCTATGCCCAGGAATCTCTCCTGGCAGTGCTGAGTGGCTAGACGGTGATACTGTTTGGCTGCATGCAAGGCAAGTGCCTTAGCTGCTCTACTACTGCTCTACTAGCTAGCTCTCCAGCCTGAGACTTTACTTTTTAGAAATAATCTGGGAATATTGACAAATACATCTTCTATAGTAGTTATAATATTTATAAATATAGTATTTAGGTTTTATTGTTATGCTTGTAGTCATACTCAGCTTTTAGTCAGTCACTTTAAACTATAAATAAAACTGCTTTGGCAATAAGAAAACTGTTTGGTATCTTACCATAAATTTTGTTTTTATTATTTTATCCTTGATACTTTCAGAATATCATTTGCAAACATCAGAATAAGTTCTATAAACATGAAATTATATCCATATGCTTTCTGATATCATCCAGGGATATATAATACATATATGTTGGAGAAACTAGGGAAGAAATATTTTTGGGCATTTGTAATTCCCTGAAGTATTTGATAAGACATAATTTTCTAATGTTTGGAGATAGTGCAAAACTGCCCACAAAATATTAAAAATTGTGCCCTTCTTACAGGTGGCTCCAGAAGAATTTAAGACCAGCATTGGCCGTGTAAATGCATGTTTGAAAAATGCTCTACCCGTCAATGTGAAATGGCTGCTGTGTGGTTGTCTGTGCTGCTGTTGCACACTTGGTTGCAGCCTGTGGCCTGTTATTTGTCTCAACAAAAGAGTGAGTAACTGTTTCGTTGTGTAACAAGTATGAGCTAACATTTCTTGAACATTAGTATAGCTGGAGTGCTTTAACATGTTTTATTTAATTCTCATAGTATTGCTATCCTCGTTCTAGGTAAAGAAAGTCTGGACCAGAGATTAAGGCATTTTTCAGTGCTTATCCCTTTGTTTTCTGATAATTTTAAAGAAATCAGTGTAACTGGACTACTTAAGTAAATGTAACTGGGCCACTTAGTCTTTTAAAGTATTTCCAAGTTCCAGGTATATGAGGCTTGGTGTTGAGTTGGAGGGGTAGGGAGAAAACCGCTTAGTTTTGAACATGTTAAAGCAATGCTCCAATATGACATTACTAATTTTGGATTTAAAGCAATTTTATTTCCATAAAAGTTGTATTTCAGTCTTTTGAATGTTTTACCAAGTGTGAAGGAAGATATATTTAAATTTTTCCATTGAAGCCAAAGAGGGAAATTATTTCATTTTATAGTTATTTTTTCTAAACTACATTGATGACATCATTTAAACTTGTAAATAATTCTTATACTTAACCATGTTTAAAAATCACAACATCTTGTGATTAAATAATTAAATTAAATAATTAATGATGTAGTTGTTTCATAAAGGCCAAAGACATTCCCAAAAATTACTCATTTTTTCTCTTTGAATTTTGTCTTGCCCTTACTGTCTACTTCAAAAAATGAGTTTTTAAATGGAAAACTTGTAAGGTGAAGATTAAGCTCTTCGGAAACTACCAGTAGGTCAAAGTTTTAATTTAAATGGAGCTTAGTTTATTTTTTGTCAGAGCATGAACAATATATGCAAACAGCTTCCTTTAAATTTTAAAAATGGCAGATGAATTTATTTTCCTGTCAGATATTTTAGTAATTGCAAATAAATTACTTCTGTCTCCTTTACTTTTAGAAACTGTGAATTGTGATTGTGACTTTTCATCAGTCAATTACAGATTCAGTTACTTAACAAATTTTTATAACTATTATGTATAAATTATAAATTGTATGTAAATTATATATCCTAAATATTTTCCTTTTAGTCTCTTGGGGTCTCTGTTGAGACACCCAGTAATAAAGAATAAACAAATAGGAAAAAACAAACAAGTTTATTTGTTTTGTTTTGTTTTGGGCAAATAAACAGGAAAAAACAAACAGGTTTATTTGTTTTGGAGCCACACCCAGCAATGCTCATGGGTTACTCCTGACTGTACTCAGGAATCACTCGTGGCTGTGCTTGTGGGACCATATAGTATGCCAGGGATCGAACCCAGGTTGACTCTGTGCAAGGCACGCATCTTATCCACTATACTATCTTTCCAGCCCCCCACAAACAAAGGTTTAATAAGATATGTGTCTCCTGATTACATGGAAAAGACTGGAAAATTGACTAATTCCACAGATGATTCAAGTCATCTCTTAAAATAACATCTTTGACAAAAAGTTGTTTTAGGAAGGAAAGGATAGTAATGCAAAGCTACCAGGAAAGGTACTGTATACAAGAGTATGGTTGGTAAGCAGGCTTAAGTTGTTGTTTTCTCCATAATATCAGATATAGAGATTTGGTCATTCCCTTCTTCCTGGTATAGGGAGGGAAACACCCTTACAAGTGAAAATTTCTTTCACCATTGTAAATGTCTCTTATAAATGGGTAACTTCTATTCATGTTTTAGAGGTTTTCCTTTGTTGTTTCTGAAAAGTAACAAGCCAAAAATAATCTTTATGCCAAAGAGGCATATTTTATGGCACAATAGTCTGCTACCCGTCTAAATCTAGAGTCTCTTTGGAAAAAAAATCTTGCAATATAGGGCGCCCCTGCCAACCTGTTATTTATTGGTCCTAATTGAGTGGTGGCTGCTCCCTTTACTTGAGAAATGTAGTCTCTGATTCAACATAGAAAGACCCAGCATTGGGGCTAGAGGAATAGCGCAGCGGGTAAGGCATTTGCCTTGTACGCGGCTGACCCGGGTTCGATTCCCAGCATCCCATATGGTCCCCTGAGCACCGCCAGGAGTAACTCCTGAGTGCAGTGCCAGGAGTAACCCCTGTGCATCGCCAGGTGTGACCCAAAAAGCAAAAAAAAAAAAGACTCAGCCTGAACATGATGTGCCTTTCTACACTTTATAGTTATGATCCCTGATTATTTTGGTTTATTTATTTATTTATCACCAATTTTTTTTTTTGCTTTTTGGGTCACACCTGGCGATGCACAGGGGTTACTCCTGGCTCTTGCACTCAAGAGTTACTCCTGGAGGTGCTCAGGGGACCATAAGGGATGCTGGGTATCAAATCAATTTGGTGATATGGGACTGGAGAGATAGCACAGTGGATAGGGTGTTTGCCATGCATGCGGCTGACCTGGATTCAATCCCCAGCACCCCATATGGTCTCCCCAGTACTGCCAGGAGTAATTCCTGAGTGCAGAGCCAGGTGTAACCCCTGATCATTGTTGGATGTGACCAAAAAAGAAAAAAATTGACTTATCATTAAAGTGCGATGCACTTTGAATAATGGGTTAGATTTTCACAAATAATTATATATATATGTGTGCAATGGAAAGCTGTTGTTTCAGATGAAAGAACAACATGGGGCAAAGTAAGACCCTTGCTTTTGTTATTTTTATTTTTATTTTTTTTCTTTTTGGGGGACCCTTGCTTTTGTATGTTGTGTTGTCAGCATTCTAGATTGTGAGACACTAAGTACATGGTGATAACTTGGTACAAGTCATTGTCTTTTAGAGCCTCCATTATATCATCTATAAAATTAGGATAATATTACTTACTTTAATGGTGGTTGTGATGATGAAGAGATCTAGAGTATTTTTATGCTTTTTCTGTTCACGTGTAAGAATAAAAATAGAGTACAACAATTAAGATTTTTATGTCTTACTACTGCTTCCTAATCTGTAAATTAAGTTGTATAGACTATAAAACAATACAATATAAAAAATATATAACAATTGGAAAGATGATTAGCATTCATGTAGTCCAAATCCCTTATTTTTGCAGGTGTGAAAACAGATCCAGAGAGGTGAAGTGACTTTCCCAGATTCACACAGTAAATGGTACAATCAGAAAAAATAATACTTTTGGGTTTTAGGGGTGTTTTTTTATCAGGGAGTCTATATCCTGGATGTTTTTCCCCTAGAAAATTATGTAAAAAGCAAAGAAATTCAGGTTAGGGTGTCCTTGTTTCTCGTAGGATTCTATATCCCTTGATAAATGAAAAGAGAGATCTTTTGACCTATTATTACATTTACTACTAAAATCACTGTGAAATTATAATCAGTTTTCAGACCGTGATCATGCCACTATCTTAGAGTTTGAAATTGCCTTTGGTCTTTGCCCCCCTTGTTTTGCTAAATTGAGAGGGATGTTAAGTGAGAACTATTCTCTCTTATCCTTGTAACATGAATATGATGCTGTTTCCTTCTGTTGTTAGCTCTAGTTTTATTGTGTTGTAGAGAAGACACTATTGTTTTTGTTATCTTCTATAATTTATAAAGATTATATTCGATGCTTATATGTTTCATCCTGGAGAATACTTTGTGTACATTTGATAAGAATTTCAATTATGTTGTTGTGCAGTAGAGTGTTTATATATTTTCTATTAGATGTCCTAGTTTATAGTTTTCATAGCCTGTTTTCTCTTCAGATTGCATAAATCTTTTGCCTTTTACTGGTTAGTAGTGTTCAATCTCTATATTTTTATTCTTTATTGATCTCTATTATTTTAGAACTCTCCATTTCTTCCTTTAGTTAGCTGTATATTACGTATTTGTGTGTATATGCATATATATTGGTTTGGGATCGTCTTAAAGGTTCTCAGGGTAATTCCCAGCTTAGTGCTTGGGTAGGTCGCTCCTGGTGTTGGTTTGGGGATACTCTAGCATGCAGAGTGTGCACTCCAAACCTCCTAACTCTTTCCCTGGTCCTATTTTTTATAATGGCCATTTTATAGTTTTTCAAGCCTTTTCCCATTGTTTTTCTCTTTCAAATGTTTGATTAGTTTCTCAGTGTGGATCTCTTTGGGTTTATCCTCCTAGAATTAATTGAGTTTTTTAGAATTTTCCTTTTCTTTTGCATGCACTCAAATTAATGTCTTCTGTCATTTGTTTTAAACCTAAAGAACTATCCATGATACTTCTTGTAAAGTAGGTCTGACAGCAGTAGGTGTTGCCATTTTTACCTAAAATTATATTCATTGAAGCTTTACAAATATAGTATTCTAATAAATGGGCCATTTTGGACCAATTTTAGGTTTACAGAAAAAAAATTAAGAAAACACAAAGCATTCCTGTATATCCCACTTAGTACCCAGTTTTCTGTTACTATAATTTTGTTCTATGCAATAGAATTTCAACAACTTATGAGCCCCTGATAGCTCATTATTATAAATTAAAGTTTGTGGTTTACATCAGAGTTCACTCTTTGAGTTATAATTTGGTTTGGTTTTGTGGCCACACCCAGAGCTGCTCAAAGGTTACTCCTAGTTCTGCACTCAGGAATTACTCCTGATGTTGCTTGGGGGACTATATGCAGTGCTGGGGATCAAACCTGGGTCGGCCGCATGCAAGACAAGCTCTCTCCTTGCTGTATTATTGGTCTGGACCCATTTGTATTGCACTTCTAATGACTTTGGCCAAATGTAGATGACACATATCCATCATTATAATATAGATAATATAATAGTTTTACTTTTCAAAATATCCACTATATCTAATTCGTACCTTCCTTTTCTACCCCCTCAAATGTTAAGCAACCACTAAATTTATTTTAAATTTTTTATTAGTGAATCACTGTGAGGTACAGTTACAGACTTACAAACTTTCGTGCTTGCATTTCAGTCATACAATGATCAAGTACCCATCCCTCCACTGGTGCCCATTTGCTACCACTAATGGTCCCAGCATCCCTCCCACCACCCCCATTCTTTCCCCTCCACCCCACCCCGCCTCTGTGACAGGGCATTCCCTTTTGCTCTCTCTCCTTAT